GTGGTAAAAAAAAAAAAAAAAAAAAAAGACCTACCCCAAAAATAAGACCTAGTATGTTTTTCAGAGCCCAAAAAAATGTCAGTGTCTTATTTTCGCAGAAACACGGTAGATATTTGCCTTAACCAGCAGCTGAATAGGTGTACCTACACACAAAAAAAAAGTTGGCAGTGAGTGTATGTATTATTTATTCATATCACTTATCACGTTATTTAATACATACTGCCCTCCCAACTTTTTTAATTGCATACTTTAACTGATATTCTAGATAATTTATATTGTTTATATTGCTATACATTTAATGTATGATGAATTTATATGTTATCCTAATCCAAATATTTTGTGAACAATGCACTTAAGGTAAATGTAGTGCCCTAAAACACTATATAAAACCTTTTTTTTTGTGAAATTTAAAAGATGAGGCTACAACGAGTAAATAGATACCCAACATGCCCAGGTTAAAAATTTGTGTGCATCCGTAAAACTGCAACAGAATTCATTACCCCAAAAAGTCCATAAACAACGCTTTAAAAGCCCCTACAGGTCATCAATTTACAGATGTGCGTAAACATTGGCCCTAGAATTATTGCTCTTACCCTGGCACGTGCGGCGATACCCAACATGTGTAGCGCAATTGTCGTTTTCGTACGTAGGCGCACCCGATGCGTGTTTTAGTGACGATGTGCATGCTCGCGGGGGGACTTTTTAAAAAAATATTATTTTTACATTTAATTTATTTTTAGAACTGTTTTTTTTTACTTTATTTGCTATGCAGGTGATGGCATATTGGTGGTGACAGGCCCTCTTTAAGGTGATACTAGGGGTCTTTTGGATCCCCAGTATGACTTTTAATTAGGCTATTGTAGTGCAGATCACACTTTAATAGCTTATTGTTGGGCTTCAAGAGCCCAGCAATGACAGCTCAGGGACTGGAAGTGATGCAATATGCTTTGCTCCCGGTCCCATAGAAAGAGGAGGAGAGCGGTGAACGGAGAGCTTCCCACCAGAGATGCAGGTCCCGGGCCCGTAGGTGGGGCAGCGGAGCCCGGGAAACACGGCGGGGGTGTCGGGTGGCCACTTTACCGGATCGGAGTCCCGGGAGTCTGTTTAACCCCTTGAGGATTCATGACTGAATTATCCCGTCATGAATCGTGAAGGGGTTAAGGAAAACATATTGTATTTTGTTGAATCTAATGAGCACTCTGACTCAAACAAAAGCTGTTGCAACAACACGACTGTCTGAACCGTGCATTCTTTTATATGTAAATTAATATCAGGGAGGACTTTATGGACCAGCCTTTTCTGTAGAAAGTGTTAGAAAGACTGTTACACTTCTGAGAAGTCATGCTGCTTGTATGCTTTTCTGCAAATTATGCAAAATTGGCGCTGCACAAATTTGCAGCAACTGAACTAGTTGCAAGTAAAGGAGCAATCCAGTCGCTGCTTATTTTGTTGACTAATTGGCTTAAGTTCCTTGATAAATCTGCCATTCCATGGATACAAGCGATGATGTGATCTGCCTAATATATACATAGTACACTTGGGCACAGGACCTGTTTCACAACATTGGGGGGACCTCAATAAAGCCTTAACAGCACTTTTCTGGTGCTATAGACCTTAAAAAGGTGGTGCGCCAAATTCAAAAGGCCCTGTTGCCAGTTCCGGTAAGTTTACTGACACTTGCTACAGATTCAGCTCCGAGACTTTAAAAATCTGTCGCTATTGTTGGCAGTTTACAGGTTGTAAACTGGTGGTAATTAAGACCAACTCTGACCTGGCACACCAGTGCTCATAGTGGGGCATGTGTGTGTACTGGGAAGCTGTCCTGAATGTAACAGCTTCCTGTTCATTGGTTGCTAGGACAATGGGCCACAGGAGTCCAAGCAACCAATTATGCAATCCTGACTTATTCAGTTGTCAGCCGAGAGATTCCCCAGCCAGCAGCTGAATGTAAATAAAGGGGCCAGGGGTCCTAGCTAATCATAACCCAGATATGGCCATATTTGGGTAATGGTGTCAGCCAGAATTCCCCCCTTTGCATTTGTCTTGCATTGAGTGGGCGGAGCCTGATGAGGAATTCTAAAAACATCCAGTGACTGACAGTGGGCGGGGCTTGATGGGGAATGCAGACCGAGTTCCCCATAAAGTCCGTTCTGTTAATTGACAGCAGGGAGTGGCTGGGTGCTATAGCCAGCATGCTATGGCACCCATCTACTGCCAGCTGTTAATCAGCAGCAGGGTGGACCTCATGGGGAACTCCTCGGGTTCTCTGAATTCCCCATCAAGCTCCGCCCACTGTCAGCATCACTAGTTGTTAAGGACTCTGTCAGCTACAGCCAATAGTTTCCATAACAACTAGTGACACACACTGTCGGTGATGCTGACAGTGGCGGAGCTTGATGGGGAACAGACTTCACCCACTGGCATCACTGGATCTTAAGGACGCTATCAGCTGTAGCTCACGGCTCCTCCCCCCACAGTCTTCCTCCTCCATAAGATGGAGAAGGTTACACTTGCTCGGCGTTCTAACGTGGTAGAACGTTGAGCAAGTGGACCCTAACCGCTCACCTGCCATTCTGAACCTCCTAGACAGGACTACTAGTTGTAACCTTACCTGAAGGACGCATCTGCCAGCAATCAGCCAGCAGCACTTCCTAACCACAAGTACTGTCATCTGAAACTGTATTGCTACAACTTGTGCTGGATTACCTTAAAGGGACAGTGTATTATCGTTTAACATTACTTACTAACATGCCCTCATGGGTGTAACTACTTCCAGCATTACTTCCTTAACTCCAAGTACTCTACTCTGCCGCTAGTGCTGTCTCAGAAGGGGGGGGTAGTCTTGTATGACGAGTATAGCCCAAAACCTATGTTTTAACTGAAAAATTAACGGGCCGTCTTATACGCCCAGCCGCCTTATACGCTTGTAAATGCGCACTAATACATATCTAAACTTGAGAAGGAAGCTCTTATGTATTGCAGCTTATTAGCCCTTGGATGTAGTGGCTGTTTTTTTTCATTTTTCAAGCTAAAAACATTTTCCGCAATTACCCGTTGTCAAATGCAGTGTCCTTATCTTTATGTGAGCTGAACTGAAAGTGCAAATAATGTCATCATCCTATTTATTACAGTTATTTATGTAGCATGGACAATTTACATATATTGTACTTTCACATCAGTCCCTGCCCTCAAGCAGCTTACAGTCTAAGGTCCCTACCTCACATGCATACACACACATACTAATTTTTGCCGATTAACCTACCATGTGTTTGGCATGTGGGAGGAAACCAGTGTATCCATGCCCAGACAGGTACTGTTCTGGTTGGGATTTGAACCAAGGTTCCATCTTAAGTGACAACTATGACTCCCTACATAGATATAATGGAGCAAGTAAGTATAACCACCTCAGGACAGGAAGTTTGTTGCTCGCAGGGTTACCAGGTAAAAAAGAAAACAAATGCAGCCATCTCATCTAAGGATTAGCAAGCTACAATACATGTGATTTTTTTTGTTTGCTTTAGTAAATTTGTAACATTGGGTACGTTTTTGTTTTGCTCTAAATTTGGCACAATTGAGACACTTTTTTCTTTTAATTCTGAAAGTTTCCTGTATATTATTATGTATATGATTATGAAAATCTCTGTTGTTACTGACCACTAACACATTTTCTTTTATAGTCTGCAGCATCTCTTCTTGCAAATACATCACCTTTGACCCTCATGGCTTCACCATTATCTGTAACTAATCCCAACGTGGCAACAACCTCACTTAGCCCATTTGGCATGTTGGGTGGCCTGGTACCTGTTAATATGCCATTCCAGTTTCCTTTGGAGTTGCTTACCTTTGGGAGTGATACTGCTGGTGCAACAACATCTCCATGTTCTACCTCAGCGGCATTTCATCATAGTATCACTCAGAGTAAGGACATTAAAATTATCCTCCTTAAAATATTTTTGTTGTATTCATTGTTCATTTTAACCTCTGGCAAGTCTAACCATTGAATAGTCCACAACTTGTTTTAGTCCATTTTAATTGTTTCTACTTTAGTTAAGCTGGTATACACTGGCCATTTTTGCTAGTTCAGCCCCACCAGGCAGTGCCACAGTCAGTATACAATTGATGATTGGCTGCAGTCACTGTTCATCTGAGATTTGTTTTATGCAGGCTCTTTCGACAAAAATAAGTTAACTTTACAGTTGAAGATAATGTGTAGGGTACTTGTCAGCGGTATTGTAGATATGTTGTATATTTTATAGTCACCACCTGGTTGACCACCCCAGATGAGTGACTAGATGTTATGACAATATGCATTCATGTATTTTATTACGAAAAAGGTGTATATGTAACAAGTAATTGTCCTATTTTGTATGAATAAAATTTGCACTTTTTAATGACGTATTGTACCTTAAATAAGCATATCATTGAAGCACCTCAAAAGTCCCACATGAAGACCTTTTACTCCAACCTGTTCACCATTCCCAAATTCAAAGTGGGCATCTGCCCCAGCTTGGATCTCAAAACCCTGAATGCTCCATTCGAGCTCAGAAATTCCTCATGAAACCCCCACTAGGTCTATCATCGTCTCCCTTCACCATGGAGAAATTCTGGTTTCTTTGTACACCAAGGATGCACACCTATGTGTAATTATTATTCTTAACCTCCCTGGCGGTCTGAATATTTATTTATTTTTTCCTTTTTTGTTCTATGTTTTTTTTAGAGGTGCACCAAAATGGAAATTTCAAAAACGAAACCGAAATAAAAAAAATTGTCAGACCAAAACCAAAAATGTTTTTTATTTTAATTTTTTTAATATTTTATTTTAATTTTTTTATATTTGTTTTATACAATTAATAATACAAATTTATTTGTATTTATTAATTATTTTTTTATTAAATATTTGTATGTTTTACTTTTTCTTTTACTTTGCTTCTGGGAAATATTAGGGGTCTAAGCAGATCCCCGATATCTCCCTTTTAAAATAGAAAAAGAGATTGAGGACACAAAGTCCTCTATCTCTTTTTCTGTATCCCCTTTTATCAATGAACAGGAATCCTCTGAGTGTTCCTGTTCATTCATAACATGAGAACATTGTGTGTTTACTATAACTACAACTATGAATGAACAGGAGGTGATGTAGATCACTTCCCATTCATTCATAACACGGGTCTGCAAAAAATTTCGAGAGCTGTTTTGGTTATTCCACGTAATCTTTATGTTTTTTGGTGCGCTGAATCTGAAAATGACCTCCATTTTGTCATAGGACATCACGTTTCCTGACAATTTAGGTAACTATGTTAAATAAGGCAATACCTCAAAATAAATAGAAATAGACATAAAATTAAAGTTTTATTACAATATTTTCATGAAAATCCTTTTTTGAACTGAAATGAGCTCACCTACACACACTAAACTCGATTCTTCTTCCTTGTGAGGCTCCTCTTGCTGCATTTACGCTTGTGAGTAGCATTAGGAATGTCTCTCTGAAGCATCCAACAGTAGTCTGCCATCATTGTAATGCTCCATTTTCCCTGGTATCTCCTTTCCATCTCTTTAATGTCTTGGTGGAATCGTTCACCTTGTTCCTCACTCAGAGCTCCCAAATTTTCAGGAAAGTAGTCAAGGTGGGACTGGAGGAAATGCACTTTCAAACTCATCAGGCAACCTAAAGCTTGAAATGCTTTCAGCATTCTTCCGACAATCTTTTTGTAGCGAGGATCTTTGTTATTGCCTAAAAATTTCTGTACGCAATCCACCCTTCTTTTTGAGGATCCGTCATGGTATTGACAAACTCTTGATCAACTATAAGCCTTCTAATGTCTGGTCCGACGAACACACCTTCCTTCAATTTTGCCTCCGACACATGGAAACTTGATGACCAAGTATTTGAAGCATTCTCCATCTCTTGGAAGTGATTTTACGAATTGCTTAATCAATCCCAATTTTATGTGGAGAGGTGGTAGAAGAACTTTATGGGAAGGTACCAAAGTTTCTCAGAGTACATTTTTTTCACCGACTGTTAGCACCCTCGGCTGCCAACTCTTCTTGGTCCAGTGATTTTGTCTGTCTCTACTGTCCCATAGACACAGAAAACAAGGGTATTTGGTACAGTTTTTACAGACCTCTCATCTTTTTAAGTGGGAGAACTTGCACAATTGGTGGCTGACTAAATACTTTTTTGCCCCACTGTATACCCTGCTTGTTGCCCGAGCAACATGCACAAGACCTTCAAGTCCCCACACACTTGCCAACCTTGGTCTTCATATTTAAGTTTACAAAGAACCAATTCCAAGTTCTCGTAGGTTTCCTTCAAGTGTACGGAATGACCTACAGGTATGGAAGCGAAAAAAGCGTTGTGGAGTAAAACTGCTTTGAGACTTCTTTTTGAAGAATCTATAAAAAGACGCCATTGCTCTGAATCATATTGGATTTTAAATTGACCCATCAGACCTACGACATCGATGCAATAAACCAACTTGTTATCCTGGGCGGAGTAAGGAACAAACTCCTTTTCACGATGTCTGAACCATGAAGATGACACTCCTGGCAACAATAAAATCCTGCTTTTCAGCCTTGATCCGAGTAACTCAGCGGCATCTTTGGGAAGATTCAAGTCTCTTACCAAATCATTCATCTCCTCCTGAGAAAACAATTTTGGTCTTGTATCATCTTCAAAGTCAGAACTTGATTCGTCATCTGGTTCAGGTATGACTTCACCTTCATCGGAGCTAGGTATCTCTTCCAAGGTAGCAGGGGGCTTGGGTACTGGTATATCTGTGCCATGGGGGATGGGACGAATTGCTGAGTGAAGATTGGGGTATGAAATGGAATGCTTCCATTTGGAATTAAACCCTTTCACATGGCATGAACAAAAGTTACAGTCATCACTATGGTTCTTTTGCTCTCGCCATTCCATAGGAATCCCATAACGGAAAGATTTTTTCTTACCCTTGAACCAATTTCGGAGGTCCTCAACACACCATTTGCACACTTTGAGGGCCCAAACTTTATCTTGATCTCCAATTTTTTGTCCAAAGTATGCGAAGTATACTTTTTTCACAAAGTCTGTAATATTCTGCTGTTTCAACACTGTATATTGACCACAGATGAAACAGAAACTGCCTGGCGAATTAATACACTTTCGCCGAGCCATAACATAACGGTTGAAGAATGACGAGCTAACACGAATTGCGATGAAAAAGTGTGAATACCCTAGAGCCAAGAACCTGATGATGATTCGTGCACAAGTGTGGCATGCAGGAGAGAGCAGCTCCGTGTCTGTACACGAGACGTCACAGTGCTGGCCACGCCCCCTGCACTGACCGGTGCTGCTGCTATCTGCCCTGTGTCTCCCTCCCACTGGATTCTTCAGGAAAGATTAACCCCTTCTACCATTAGAAGAACAGACTTAAAACTTGCTTAGCTTATGTATATATTGCTGACCATCAGATTTACAGTGCTATTTTTTTTTTACATAACTCGGACAAACCCTTTAAGGTTTTTTTGGCATTTTATATCTTAAATGCACTTATGTGAATTAATTAATAGTAATTTGGACAAAATGATATATTTAAAGACAATTTTGCATGTTGTGGCAAATCATGATGAACAGCTTTTTAGTCGCAGACCTGTGTGAGGATATAGTAAACATACCATGTTGTCAATTATCTACAAACACTCAGCGATCACTGATCACGGAGTGTTTGTACTCGCTCTCCTCTCAGACACGCTGTCACATAAGAGGCTGCGTGAACAGTGCAGGGAGGAAAGCTCAGCCTCTTGTGACAGCGAGGGCTGTCTCCGCCCACACACCGCTCTGCCGGACTGTGATAGGAGGCTGAGCGGTGTGGGAGGAGAGACGCCGGCCACTCACAGCGCTCGGCCCGCTGTCACACTTTCTCTCCTCCCCGCTGGGAAACAGAGCAGTGGGGAGTAAAGATAGCAGGGATGCGCCAATGTATCGGCAGGAAAATTGCCCTTTCCCCATTTAGCCAAAAGTGCAATTTTCGGTCGATATGTTTCGGCGGCCAATGTATCCCTACTGCCAAGAACCCTTTGTGATTTTACATAGGGACAAGGTGGTTTTGAGGCCCAGGATTTCTTTATTACCCAAGATAGTTTCTTCCTTTCACCTGAGCCAGGACACGGTTCTCCTGTTCATCTGTCCAGCTCCAGTTCAATAAAATGTCACAATTTTCTTCCATGGTCCAGATCTGGCCTACATATGTTTAGGGCTGTAGATTCTGTCTCTCAGCCACTGCTTCATTTAAGAAGACGGATTCCCCTGTTTTTTTGTTTTGTTTTTTTGTAATCCAGCAATGGATACTCTAATTTCTCGTTCCACCTCTAGGTGGCTCAGGCAGGCCATCATCCAAGCTTATCTCAAGTATCAAGTTCCAAAGTTCCACCCTTTTCCTGTCAAAGTGCACTTGTGAAGATCTGTGAGTGCTTTTTTGACTTTTTAGCATCAATCAACTGTTTCCCAGGTCATCTGTTCAAACAGTCTCTAAGTGCTACCAAGTGGATGTTGCAGCCTCATCTGATGACAGCTTCAGGCTTATTGTCCTTCAGATGGCTCTTTGAGCTGCCGGCAATCCCCAGTTCTTTGTTTTTTTCTTGAACCTTTTGGTGTTGGATTTCTGTGTTGCCAACCCATCAGTTGGACGGCTATTGCATGTCTGTGTTTATGATCACGCTCTCGTTACTGCTTCGCTGCAAAACTGAGGCATACTGATAGTGGGAGGGGTTATCCTTGGCTGGCCTACAGCTTGCTTGCAATTGTCCAAACCTCCTGTAGGCGGTAGTATTACCCGATGCGGAGTACAAAATTCCTATTTTTCTCCGTTTGCAAGGATTGTCCTTGTCTCTTTTACAGCACCCTTAAAGTTAACTAATGTCCACTTCCTTTACTATATCAACCACATATGTATTTATGCATGATCATAGCATATAGGGTGCTATGATCACACCAAAAATCGCAAGGAAATCGCAATTCAATGGAGGGTTCCTTCTGATCCATTGCGTTGCAATCCGTTTTTTAACTGATGCCAACAAAAAATTAATAGGTGTGAATGGGGCTAGTTCATACCAGATCGATTACGTTACGTTGTGCTGAAAAAAAAGTAGTGCATGTTCTACTTTATTTTCAACACAACGTAACGCAACGGAGCGGTATAAACTAGCCCCATTCACACGTGTTCATTTTTCGGTGCCCTTCCGCTAGCATTAATTGAAAAACAGATTGCGACACTGTGGATTGAATTGGCTCTTAATCAACTTTTCTTAAGGATGAGTACTTAAAATTTTGTTAATCTTTCCTCATAGTTTATATCCTACTTGCCCCTTTTGTAGTTGTCCTTCTCTGCATTCTTTCCAGTCCCACAACGTTTTTTTTTTTTCCTGACTTGGTGCCTAAACGGAACTGCATATTCAAGATGAGGTCTTACGAATACTTTAAGGCCATGTTATTTCTCTCATAAGTCTATTGTTTGTTTTTTGTTTTTTTTAAAAGGTATCATGCTTGTTTTAGAAGCTGCAGAGTGTTACTACATGCTGCTGTGTCTAGTCGACCAGGATACTCAGGTTCACATCCATAATTCAGTTACCCAGATTTACTGCCCCTAGATTATATGATGCATATGTGTTTTTACATAATAATAATTTTGAGGTGTTTGGGTATACTTGCAATATCGTATATGGATTCACGATCGTGACATACACTTTTTTTCATATATATAGGTGTGGTGATATAATAAGAAAATGGGCTTGTTAAAAAAAAGTCCAGCATTAGCATATAACTGATCTGCTATTAAAGCAATATATAAGTCATAAAAAACATTGCGAGTAATAACTTTTTCCTATGTGGTTTTTATAAATGGCACTCTTATAGAGTATGTTATTGCAAAGTAACAGTTTACTTTCTCCTTCTTTTTTAATTAGATTTACTCAAAGGGTTACAAACAACTGCTACGCACACGACAACAATTTCTCACTCCAGCTTGCCAGCTCATTTGCAACAAGCTTTCTCAGGTAATAAGCACATTTATCTTGTACTCCTATTATATATTTTTAAAAGCGTTTTCTTCATTGAAGTTCATAATGATTTAGTACTAAAGATACACATATATATATATCCTATACATTATTAAAGCTAAGTCACACTTTCACATGGGGAATTCCAGGGCATTCTGCGTTAAGTCCACTGAGATCCCATGCCTACCACACCCATTGGTTTTTTTTTCTATATTCTGCCCCCAACACACGTATCTTACTACTGGCATGAATAGTGTGTAGTAAGATGGCCCCTACAGTATACATCGCTATTCTTCCTATATCCTGTATTAAATAAACAAAAGAAGACTGAAGGTTTCTAGCTTTACACTGTCAGTGAGTATACTTCCATATTTCTGTCATTTCTACACTGTTTTTACTTTCTCCTCCTAGTTTTTCTTTGGAGAAGGACACCAAATTCCACCTTGTGTTGTACCCCCTTACACTCTCCTTAGCAGTGTTACATTCTACACTTATTCACAACACAGACTGCATACAGTCGCATAATGCAGAGACCGAACACAAGCTTAACCAGTTGCCGTCCGCCCGTAGTAGAAAAACGGACGGACGGCACTGTCGCATTGGCGGGTTGCCGTCGCCAGACGGCATTTTTTTTCTGCTCGCGCGCGCCCCCTAGCGGGCACGCACGGGCAGAAAAGACCCGTCCAATGCGAACACCCGGTACCGGGTGTATTTTTCCTTAATATAGTAAAAAAATAAAAACCCCAGTGGTGAATAAATACCACCAAAAGAAAGCTCTATCTGTCCCCAAAAAAGGGTATAAAATTCATTTCAGTACAGCGCTGCATGACGGAATAAATGTCAGTCAAAGTACCGCAGCGCTGAATACTGAAAAATGGCCTGGATGGGAAGGGGGTTTAACACCGCGGATGTCAACTGGTTAATCAGATCAGGCACCAGAACAGAGCAATTCTAGCTGAGTAAGTTCAGATCCATAGCAGAGATTTTTTGTCCCTAAGCTGTATCTGAAGAACATAGAGGAGGCAGCACAGTGGTTAGCGCTCATGCAGCACTGAGGTCCTTGGTTAGAATTCATGGGACCTCTATCTGCATAGAGTTTGCATGTTCTTCCTGTGCTTGCGTGGTTTCCTCCAGGTACTCTTGTTTTCGTCCCATGCTTCAAAGACATGCAGGTAGGTTAATTGGCTCCTCTCTAAATTGGCCCTAACATGTTTTTATTTAAGATCGGGACCTTAGATTGTAAGCTCCTTGAGGGCACAGGTACTGATGTGAATGACTAGTATGTAAAGCACTGCATAAATTGACAGACCTGTAATAAATTAAATACCTCTGTCTCTGTAAATATAACCTGTCAAACTATCAAAGTTTGTAGTATTCTCAAATTTTTTCCATACCTTTCCCCCCATGTTTTGAAAACCTTGTCTGTACATTGTGTCTTAGTATTCTCTCCTCACCACCTCTCCTAAACATTGGAAAAACTGTCATACCCTTTGCACTCCTGTCTCGCACTCATATACCCTCTGCACACCTTCCTTGCACATACTGCCTACAGTAATATCATCCACACTCCTTTAACCCTTTCTCTGCCAAAGACGTACGGCATACGGAGGTACAAAAGTGCTTCTGGCTGGCCAGCTCAGTATGCCGTACGGACCTGGCATTTACAGTTCTACTATAAGCTCATGGTCGCTTTAGCGACCATGAGCTTATAGTAGAACTGTTCCCCGGACTGTCCCCTTCAAATTAATAGCTGTCATCAGCGGCTAGAGGCTCCTCCCCATTCATAAACTAATGATAGTAAGATATTTTTACTATCATTAGTTTGTGAATGAATGAGAAGCCTCTGTACTGAGTGTTTCCCATTCATTGAGTGCTGGGGCTGCAAAAAAAGAAATTGAGGACTCTATGTCCTCAATTTCTATTTCAAAAGGGAAATGTCAGGGGTCTATTTAGACCCCATATATTTTACTGCAGCCCCCCCAACAGTAAAAAAAATAAAAATGTTAAAAAAAATGTGTACAAGAAAAACTAATTTAAAAAAGCACAACCCCTCCCTCCCCCACATAACATACACATATTGAGGTGTACGCCATGCACATGCGCTGCAGTGCGTTGTTAGAACGCATCGCAGTGCATTATTTTTTTTATTTTTCTTTAAAAAGAAAACATTCAATTAACTGGCAGCGCATGGCAAAGCTTTGTGACGCATTGCCATTTCAGTGTGTAATGGCAGTCCAGCATCCCCTGGTTACAAGGTAACCTGGAATGCTGAACTGTCATTACACACTGAGAACCCCGGCGGGTTTTAACAATTGAATTGTGTATTTTTATCGGTTTAATATTAATTTGAGAAACATTTGCACAATTATCGCAGGGCCTACAAATTTAGTATCACCATCTTTTTATTCTACCGGGCCTGCGCTTACAGAAAATATATGGTTTGGGGGGTCTTTTACAAACGCTAGCAACCCAGCAGTTGAAAATCAAATCAATAGGAAAAAATTGCAAAAATGGCTTGGCCAGCTCATTTGAAATATGTTCCGGAGGGCTTGGCAGCGAAAGGGTTAATTCACATACTGCCAGCAGTCATATCCTCGGGACTCTTCCTTTGCACATACTACCCACTCTTATACCCAACCCACTCCTTCCCTGCACATATGTCACACGGTCATACCCTCCAAACTCTTATCCTAACCTACTGTCTGCCAAGATGCTTATTTCGTAATGTTTCTAGTATCGCCAACATTGTAATGCCCCCAAACGAAGAAAAAAATTGGCAACAGAACGAAAAGGCGGGTGCCTAATAGTGCCTGCACATAATTTTAAACATTCTAGTATTCACAGAAGCCCTAAATCCTCCTCAGATGTGCAAACGCCAACATTTTGGAACACCGTTGAAACCTACCCACCTCCTTTCTCCTCTCCTCCTGTACCTTCTTATTGGCCAGTGAGGACACTATTGGTGATGTACTTGCAGGTGTCAGTAGTTGCAAATTCTAGCTTCCCTGGTTCTTGAGAAGATGTTTAAAAGAGAGTGCAAGCACTCCTTGCAGTGCCTGTTTTGTAGCTCAAAGCCACTTTGGGTTTTTATTTTTTATATCACTGTCAGCTATGCATTAAGGAAACTGCCAAGAAGTGAAGATTATATTTTGGGTTGGATTTTCTATTCGATCCCTAATATATCCGCTACAGTCGACCAAAGCAGATTGACAGAAAGTCCCTGTTCTGCTGTTTACCTGGCCACAACACAAAATGCTTTCAGGATGACACTCTTCAAAGGAGATCTGGGAATGGAGGTTCCGTGATCTTCTCCTGCTTGGCCACCTTAAGCTGTTTCCTAATTGAACATCACAGGGATTTAAATCTTTTAACCACTGGGTTATGTAGCTACCTTTAGGTGACTGGACACTGGCAAATCAATCAAAGCTGCAGGACAGCCCAACATAACCCCTCCCTCTCAAAGCAAAGGTTTTTGCTAGTGTCTTTAGGTGATGGACAACTCTGAGAGAAGTACCCTCTTTAAACTAAACTATTTGTCTTTGAAAATTTTCAGCAAAATTCTTCTGGCAAGTTTTCCTAATGCTTCTGTAAGCCACTCTACCACCTCCAGCAGCTATCTGGACAGGGGCGTATCTGCCGCGAGGCAAACAAGGCATTTGCCTTGAGCGGCACTTTCCAGAGAGCGGCCGCCCCCAAACCAGTGATACGGAACCTCACCTGCTAGGCTGAGCGCAGACCACACAGATAAGGAAGCCCATCAGCAATAAGTGTATGGCACACCGAGGACCCTGACACCGCCTCCTTCTTCAATTATAAACTGTCCTGTCCCCCTCCTCCATCCCCCCTGCACACGGAGCCCAGCCAGGAGAAGTCAGCGGCAGCAGCAGCTGTACCTAAGTGCCTGCACAAAGAGCCTGCAACCTGGGCAGCTATAAACTTCGGGTCCCGTGTGTGGACACTGACATCTGCAGACTGCAGTGATCCTTTTCTTATGGGCGATCTGCCTGTCTCTGGGGTAGACCTGCCATTTCAGCTTTGACTGAATGCTTGGTAGAGAGCACAAAGGAGCCGATCTGCAAGGATTTGTGCAAGGCTGGTAGGTGGTTTAGATCATAAATCCACCAATGAGCTCAACCTCCTCTCTCTGATGCTGGCAGAAGTGATACAGCGCGCAACTGTTACTGTTTAAACAGGCGCTCGCTGTATCCAGCTAATAGGTTGGAAACAGCATGCGCACTGTATCCAGCGTCTGACAGGTTACGCATAATGTCCTAAACCGGAAGGGGCGGGGCAAACTTAGATTGGGGGCGCCCGAGTTTAGTCTTGCCTAGGGCAGCACAAAACCTAAATACACCACTGTATCTGGATAGTTTTTCTCCTTGGCAGAGCCTTGGTGGGCCATACCTGGACCATGTCAGATGAAAGATGCAGGGCTGCCTTGTAATGTTCTTACATTAACCCGGGGGTCGGCACCCTGCTGGATGCTTTGTGCTGCATGTGTGGTTAGTCACAGGGTGCTTTTCAGGTTCAGGGCTGTAGTCCATTTTCGAAGCCCTGACCCTGAAAACCCTCCTAAGTGAGTATGGGCATTTGGAGAGTGAAAATTTGATGGCGTGTTTTTGCTGAATGCTGGACTAAAAAGCCTCATCCATCCCCCAAAGGTGCCTCAGTCCCCTTTAGGGTTAAATCTGCGACTCCAGTGTGACTTCTGTGTTGCACTTTTAGGGGTACTTTAGCTTCAGAAAATGTAATTAAATGCACAGTGCTGCTGTTATGTACCTGGGGCACCTTTGCTGCTTACAGTGTCTTGACACAGATCACTTTCAATTCTCAGATTCGCAGATCAATTCTCGCATCTGACTGTGAGTTTTGTTTCTTCTTCTAAGCACAAGGCTCTGCCTTATGTATCGTCATTTCCAGAGCCATGGTTGTTTCTTTGCCTAACCCTGTCTCTGAAGACTCATCTCTTAGAAGTAAGTATGTTGTGTGCTGTGCAGATTGTCTGGATTCCCTTTTTTTTTTTTTGTTTTCTCTGAAGGTGCTGATGTAATGTGTGTTGCTGGACCAGCATCAGGAATTTTTAGGATCCGTTTGCCGTTTCCCCTTTCTGGGCTGGGGTTAGTACTTTCTATGGGTTGGTGTGGCGTTTTCATGTGTGTATGCTCTCCACCCTCTTTTCTTCCCATTCAGATACTGAGACAAAACTCTCCTTTGTTCTGTGTGAACAGCACAGGTTGGCCTAGACCCCTTACATTTCCCTTTTGAAATAGAAATTGAGGACACAGAGTCCTCAATCTTTTCCTGCAACCTCTGTTCTAAATTAATGGAAAGCACTCAGTGCACTGGACTAAAAAGCACTCACATTCATTCAGAAACTGGTGATAGTAAAATATTTATTATCATCCAGTTATGAATGGGTAGAAGCCTCTGTAGTGAGTGCTTCTCCCCATTCAAAAACTCATGTATGAACAGGAAGTGATGTAAAGTACTTCCTGTTCATTCATAACTGGGGAAACTTAGTACTATGTGTCCCCAGTTGTTTACAAACATTGAAGTGGTCAGCTAAAGCAACCATGAGCTTATAGTAGAAGGGAGAAAGCCACCGGCGTAAGGCTTACTGAGCTGGCCAGCTGGAAACAGTTGTGTTCCGCCATAAGCCTTACGTCAGTGGCAGGGAAAGGGTTTAAGGATTGAAAGCACCTGAACAGGCCTTTACTCCCCCTGCAATTATTTTTTTTGTCCTTTTTCCCTTTGTGGAGGACTTTGTTATAAAACAAAAAGTGGACTGCTCGATCTGCAAAGGAACCATTCTTGTTGAGGATGCTCATTTATCTTTTAACTGCCACCATTGCAACTACTAGGTACATGCAGCCAATATCAGCCATGAGTTTGTTTAAATTTTTTCTCCAGGTTGCTGGTTTTATAGTGGAAGATTTCCCTCCTGGGAGCTCTGGACACTAAAACTTCCATCAGGATAGAGAGTGATAGGAGGAGAGCGAACTCCAGTGTGCATTGTAAACCTGGTAGCACTTAGTTCTGAGCCTTTTGGTTTCAGAGCTGTCGAACTTTGGTGGCTCTGGCCGGGAAAACAGCAGATGGAGTGCAATTTCTGCCCAATCTGATTAGGCAGAGTAATGGGGAGTCATTAGAAGTCTAATAGACCCCTGATGTCTCCTTAAAGAGAGCCCGTCACCTGCCCTGGGCCTTCACTTAAGATGCTTTGCAGACCCATTGTGATAGCAATACAATTAAGTAAAAAGTAAACATTGATTAGCTGCAAAGGCTTTTAAATCATCATGCATGTAATTTTGAGGCATGAGATATATTTTTTTATAATGTACCAAAAAATTATGGTTATGTATGCGCCAAACCTTTT